TGAGCTGAGGTTACTTGGGGTCTTCTTGGAGCTCTTGAAGGTCCTTTCTATGCTTTGTTTTGGATCAAAACTTGGTGCTAGGAACTTGTGGTGACCTATTGGCCACCACCATAGGCTGTCGGCCATGGATTGTGCTTGTCGGCCATTGGTGTGGCTGGACAGCCACCAGTGGTGGCCGGTCGGATACCAGTGGTGGCTGACGACCACCAGTTTCTTTTTCCAGATATTTGTTGATAGTTGTGCCAACTGTTAGCACATTAAGCTGCATCTCCCTACATGTGTATGGTAGGATGTTTCTAAGCTCGAGACTTGTTTTTCTATATATAGGACGGTTCCTTCCCTATTTTAGAGGGTTAGAAAAATTAGAGCAAAAATCTCTCTCTCTCTCTCTCTCTCTTACAATTTTGTGCCTAATTGCTTGTTTTCTCTACACTTTTGCATACACATACTAAATCAAATCCTCTTACCTTTGAGCTGAGGTTACTTGGGGTCTTCTTGGAGCTCTTGAAGGTGGTTTTAGCTTGGTTTTGTGCCTAGAATTGCCCTTTGCTTCAAGAGGTAGTTTACTTGTTTTGTTTACTTTGTTTGGCAAGCTTGTTTTACCATATTTTCTTACTGTTTTGGGGCTGGTTTTGAACTGAGAAAAACTCTGTTTTTGTGGCCTAAAAGTGCTAGTTTAAACCTTTTTTTAGTTAGGGAGTGGTTCACCCTTCTTGCTTATTAGTTTGTAAAGCTTTTGTGCCTTTATTCATCACTTTCAAATCAACTTTTTTGGGTCTTTTAACCACTGAATTTTAGAGGTTTTTCAGTGGTAAAAAACTTATTTTGAGGTCCAAATTTGGAGGGGTTAGCCTCCCCTCCTTATGTCTTGTTCGCATGCCTAGTTAGCTTCACATGTTAACATGTTTTTCTAGCTTAACTTAGCTCAAGTCCAGCATGCTTTAGCCTCTGAAATAACCTGTTTTAGCACTGTTTTGGGCTGTTTAGTTCGTTTGAGTCTTGTTTTGCATAGTTGTAGTGTAACCTCTTTCACTAGCTTAGTGTTTCAAGGCTTTACCCATTATTGGTGCACTTATAATCTCTGCAATCTCCCTCATTTCTTCACCTTTTGGTTTTTCTTTGAAAGTTGTTTCAAACCACTTGTTTGCCTAAATGTGAAATGGATATGCTACACCTAATGGTTTAATCCCTTAGGGGGTTCATTACCAACAGTGTAATGCTTCTTCCATGTTCAAAGCAACTTTTGGTTTGAGCCCTCTTTCCATTAGAGGACACTCACCAATGGACTTAATGGATTAATGAATGATTTGGTAACTAAAATGAGTAAACAAAATTGGCAAGTAAAACAGGCAAGATAAACATCTCTTTGTGTTGCATTGCATGTGTTCAAATCGGACGTTAATTTGAACACAAGGTAAATGAGATATTTCATACTCAAAAGTGATGAAATGTGTCATTTTCCTAGGCCTCCATTGCCCTTAATCATGCATGATGGGGTGATGGTCTCTTTGGTCTCATTTTGCATTTATTGAACTTGCACAATTGGTTTCACAAGCCATCATGCAATGAATTTGCTTAATTGATGGTTTGTGAACCAAAGCTTGTCCCTCATTTGATTTCCCTATAAAAAGGAGAGGCAAAGTGTGCAAACAACCCTTGAGAAATATGTTGTTTTGCTCTATTTTGCTCTTTGTTGCAACAAGGATGTTCAAACCAGCAGTGGTCGATAGCCACCACTAGTGACTGATTAGCCACCAATGGTAGCCGACCGGCCCCTTGTCGGCCACCAATGAAATTTGCACAGTGTGTTGGTAAGGTTTGGAAGTGGGCAGCTTTGTTGGTGTTCATATGTGCAAACAGAGGCATTCAACAGCAAGGCAATGGCTTTTCGAGTGAAGAATCAAACATGCATGCATCCCTCGCTTCCCGGGATTAGCTAATTAGTTTAATTAGTAATAGATCAAATATGTGTTGTAATTAATTAGTTGTAGCTAATTAAGAGTTGTAAATAATTAGTTAGTTTAACTAGTTATTCGATTTCGTTTGTAATTAGTTAACTAGAATAGTTAATTAATTCGGTTTGTAATAACTAGTTAGCGTAATTAGCTTATCTTTAGATAGTTGGCTTTTATTCATTCGGACCCTCCTTCGCGAGGGTATAATGTTGTAATAAGTGTGCGTGCGTGTGAGTATGTCTTCCAACCCCACGTCTTTCTCTCTTTTATTTAATCACTTTTGATGGTTAGATTAGGGACATGTTTTAATTAGCATATCGCATGCTTGTATCCATTCATATTGTCTTGCATGCACCGAGGCTCGGCGCATCATTCAAACCGTATTGCAATTTCAAATACTTCTTTGAATACGTGTTTAATCGCATGTTGTTCAAATTGCTTCATATGCCATATTAGTAGCCGAGCCTATTAATTGCATTATTGCATGTGTTGCATTAGGCATCTTGTGTGATTAGGAATCATACATTATTTTCTAACTCATATTTTCTTAGCTTGGAGTACTAGGTGAGTTTTTATGCTTTAGCATACTTGCATAAGTGTGAATATTGCCATGATTAGCATGCTTGTTATGAGACTATGTACTTAAATGCTAAACTGCTTGAACGCCTATAGATGAAGGCTTGTCGTTTGAATTGGAACGATTCAACAAATGAATGTTTTAAGCCCACTTTGTTGAGCGGCAAATCATGTTTTAAGTCCACTATGTTTGGTGGCAAATCCGCAACTTTAAGCTCACTTAAGGTGGCAAATTCAAACAATTTTCACAAACAAACATGAGTTGAATTATTCCAAGTCTTGCAAACTAGTCTATACTTGCTTATGCGCATCACATAGTAAAGCTAGCATAATAATCAGAATAAGAAATTATATTATGATTAGTAGAGGCCGATCTTTAATCGGACGAGCGGGGGTGCTCAATTCATGACCTTCCTCTCTCGTACCCAAGTTCTCGAGCCGAGGCAACTTTAGTGATGACGAACACGTAGCCTTTGGCACGAGTCATGGGTTTCCTAAATTTTTCCAAAAAAAAATATTTAGGTGGCGACTTTGTATCTGGCAAAACAATCCAATTTTGGCATTTTTGATCCTAAAATCAATTTTTTAAAAGAATTGTCAGATTTAGACTCTTTGGTGATTATCAATTTCACATTGCACTTGTGAGATTAGATTCAGAACTGCGGGAGTCCAAACTGTGAGGCCTTTCTTTTAAACCTTCTGAAAAGGGGCGCAAAAAAGACAAACCACACATAGAAATTTTTTATTATGAGACCCATGAGATAGATGATTCAAATGATTGATATAAATCCATATATTAAGGCCCACAAAAGGAATATAGGAAGAAGTATGGATAGATAAAGCTATGGCAGCTTTTCCTTATTTGAAGAAAATAGTGTATGAATATATAATCTGGTTGGAGATTGGATAAAATAGTTAAAAAGTCATCACAAGTTAACACATTATTTTTTAAAATGTTTTATACATTTTTTCATAAGAAATTAAAAAATAAATTAAAATAATTAATTTTCAAACAAGTCTAAGTATGATGTTATTAATTTTTTTTTATACTAATAATTATTGATTAGATTAATTATGTCTCTTGTGATTGACCTATATAGTAAGATACATCACATGGCATTACTTTTTCACTATAATTTTTCTTTGGTTATTATTAAAGTGACAATGTCAACACTGTAATTTGAATGTTAAGTACGGGAACAAAAAAAAAGAGTGGTGATTCATCCCACTAATTTTTGGACCACTAATAACTCTAATGAGCTTAAAAAAAAAAAAAAAAAAAAAAACTCAAGCCAAAACATCACATCACTTTGATGGGGGCTATTGTGCCACATCATTAGTGATGCTCTAGAGCTCCCAATTTAGTGCTCTAAAACATTATTCAAAAAATGACAACGAGTTTTCCTTAGTTGCAAAAAAAAAAATTTGGGGGGGAAACAACTCCCAACTGTTGGACTTGGTAAGGGGAAAAAAAAAAAAAAGTCAAATTTTGATTGGTAATATTTAAATCTGGATACAAAAATTTAAGGCACTCTCTCAAAATTGAAAGTGATTTTTTTTTTTGGTGTGTGTAGATTTTACTTACCACAAGAAAAATTGACCCTTCTCGACACCCTTGTATTATATTATATTTATCACGTTTTTTTAGGTAATAATATTATACTTTTCACCACAACTATGTTTACCACATAATATAACATTGCATTTGTCACTAGAACTATTCTACTCACTACAAAAAATTAAAAATAACTTCATCTATAATATTGTGTCACAATAATATATTTTTCAATCGCATAATAAGGTTGTAAGTTTAAGTCCCATATAGTGTTGGGTTGATTACTTTTATCTTTTCCCGTACATCTAGGCTATCCTAGGTTGACATAGTTATCATTTTCTTAGTTATGGTACCCAAAAGTAAATAGTCCTATACCACCACTATTGAAACCTTGCTCCAAAGATGGAAACTAGCGGTACTACAAATGGTATATGAAAAAGGAAGGGGAAAGGTCAGTGAGTGAGACCGGGAAAGGGGAGGGCAATAGTGAGTCTGGAAGACAGGGTTGCCAGGAAAGGAGAGGGGGCGGTGGGAAGGCCGGAGGTGGTGGTAGTGATTGGGAAGGAGTTGAGAAAGGAAGAGCCCGAAGGCGATCAAAACGAGTTTTGTGAAGCCTTGCTTTTGTCTATTGTTTGGAGAAGGAAGGAAGAATTGGTTTATCTTTTAGAAATGACCACATAATTTGCATATGAATGCGTTGTGTCCTCAAATCTAATACCATTTGTTGATTCTCATTATTTAACACACATTTAAGATCATCACAGTTAGAAAGTCAACTACTAAAAATTTTGACGTAGTCATTGTGTAGTACTGTTTTGTAGTGTAAGCATATGAAGAAGAATTTGATACAAACAACTAACTTTGATGTATTAGGCGTGAAAAAATAAAAATAAAATGGAAAGTCAACAGCCAAATTGACAAACAAGCTAACTTCGTATACTTTTCTGTTTAAAATTTATGACCCACCGCAAACAACTGCATCAAGCTGTCTCAAGAAGGGTTATGTATTACATTTGTGTTTACATCAGTATCAAGAAACCAACCAAATAAGGGAATTTGGCCCCAATTATTTGCAATCCATGCTTGAAATTCTTTTGACAATACTAGTATTACAATGAACTACTTCCAACTGGTTTGAAACAGAACTATTAAGTCTTTGACTTAGAACGCAACTTCTATTAATCCATGCTTCAAATTATTCAAACTAATAACACTTCAAATCAAGCTTCCATCAATTAAGCTTCTTACAATCCAATCTTATCTCTCCACTGCTCCCTGTCAACGGGCTAATATTCCCCATATTAATCATTGACTGAGCAAAGTTCTGAAAGAACGTGCTCTGGTTGCTACTAAACGAGTTGACAATGGAAATCGTGGCAGAACCAGATGTTGAAAACAATTCTTGATCAGATTGGAGAAGACCCTGATTGTTCTGCAAGTTTGAGAAATAGTTGTTGTCAAAGCCGTCCGGGGTTGTGGGATCAAGGTTAGCCACATTAAATCCGCTTCCATTCTGGGGACATGTTGTTTGCAGTGTAGTCAAGTATGTTGTGTTCAGAGTTGGGTCTGGGTTGCCAGTGCCGTTGAAATTGTAGAGGCGGTTGCTGAATAATCGACACTGGGCACGCCCAAACGTGTGAGCGCCTGAGAGGAGCCAGACAAAGCAAACATGATTTATACTAGCAAAGTATTGCCGCATGTTTAAACCAGAATTTTTAGCCTATCTATTTGGCTTGTTTGTTTGGGTGGAAAGTATTTTCTGCCATTTAGTACAACAGTAAACGAAAGTTTAACAGTTTTTCATGGTCAACGGAATATAGGTTTTATTTGGGTGAAAAGTGTTTTTCATTCTACCTCCGCCACCAAAACTATTAGTACATTAATTTTAATTTTAAGGTCGCAATTGAACATAGAAAAATATTTTTTTTTTGCAGAAAACATTTTCTGAAGAAGTTTTCGGTTCAAAAAAACTTGTCCGCCAAAACAAACAGAGCGTTAATTAATAACTAGAAAAACAAAAAGTTACCAGATAATGCAACAAGATCATTGATGTTGAGGCCAACAGCAGAGAACTTGTTAGTAATGTTAGTCAAGCCTTCAAAGGGAGAGGGAATAGAGGTGTTTGCTCCTGCCTGGTTTGCTGTCAAGCTGTCTCGTCTCCCCAGTAGTACAGTCCATGTAGGACCTCCTGCCTGCTCATACATAAATGCATAAAAAAAAAAAAAAAAAAATGACTTATAATTATGTGTTTGATCTAAATTTTTGAACACAAATTCAGTAAAGAAGTTGAAAAGGTACCAAAGAAACGGAGGCTTCAGCAGCAATGGCGAGAATGTCAGCGCACGAGACAACGCCAGGGCAAGAATTCTCAACGGCAGTCTTGATGTTGTCAACTACACCAAAGCCCCGAGTAGAGTTGGTATTTGGGGCTGCATCCTTTTCGCTTATTATGGTGGTTCCATTGTTGTCTAACAGAATTGAAGCATCACATCCCTAGTATTCAAAACAAAAAAAACTTATTGGATTGAGGATAGTGGATGAACTATTGTGCCCCGTGATTTTAGTTTAATTTCTAAAGCAGCGTTATCACTAAATTGACATGTGAAAAATACAAAGGTAAAATTGATGTAATTAGTACTACTATAACTAAATTGACACAAGAGACAAATAACAGAGATTACGAGCATAATTTGCCACTAAAGGAAAGTCCTTGTGAAAATGAAAATGGAAGGTTGGAAATTAAGCTCACATTGACAAAGCAATCATGGAAATGAAGTCGAATGAGGCTGGCACCGATGCGAGGATCAGACTGCAAAGCCTGCTGGACAACATTGGTCACTATGCTAGAAACATTAGGGCATGTGGTGGAATAAAATGTAGAGTTCAACTGAGCATTTGATTCATGTAGTAGTACCAGTACTCCAAGAATGATGACCACCAGAGAAGAAGAAGAAGAAGAAGAAGAAGAAGAAGAAGAGGAAAATGTCATTGTGGTTTGGTAAAGAAAAATAATTCTATAATTGTTTATGCTGTGCATTTCAAGGACATAATATACATATATAGAGAGAGTGTCATGTTCCATGCAACTTCATTGATAGACAATAAAGTATACTTTACAGCTTGGTAAGTGCGTTTTTTCTATATCATGTTATGTCACAAGCTTAAAAGTCAGTAAAAGTAGAAGCTAAGCAACAGCACAATGATCTTTATATCATTATCTTATAAAAGATGGTCCATAAGCAAAATTTTACAATAATGTTTTTTTTGGGTGAATAATTTTTACAATAATGTTAAAGTGATGATATATTTTTTTATGATATTTTATTTATCAACTTAATGGGGCACTCACACTAAGTTTCATATGAATGTCACCAATATCAAATTGGTCTTAATATTTCATATCGGATGGTAGATGAAATGTACTAAAAGAAGATGATCATCTTAACATTATTAAAAAATTTATACAAAATTTCATATCAAAAGGATGTGGCAATAACTTTCTTCCTGTAAGTCACATTAATAGACATTTATTTTTCAAGGAAAAGATTCTCTCATCAACACATTGTTGGGTCTTGGCGGGCCTATCATGGAACCCATATCGATAATTTGAACTGTTTAATTTGTTAGTTCGTCTAAGCAAATCATCTATGTAATAAATTAGATTGATCAGATAGCCATAATCATATGATTAAATTACATTTGCTATAAAAAACAGTAGATGACAAATATTATTTTAAGAATATGCCATCTATTTTTTTGAAAGATAAATATGATCTGATCAAATTATTTATGACTGTTCAATCAATTTGATTTTTTTTTTTCCTGCGTAAATTAGCTATTTGGGGAGTTTTATAAGATAATGGTCAAGTTAGGTACCGTGCTGGCTGCAAAAATTCAATTGAAGATAATCTGCCTCTTATTTTTAAAATAATAGGATCCAAGAATGACATATCATTTGGGATAAAAATTATGTATACATTTTTTCTATTTGTAGATTACTATTCTTATCTAATTTTATATGGACTAAAATATATGCCAATCAAAATATAAATAATTTGTGCAAATTTAAAAAATTCTAAACAAAAAATCCAGCTATAATATTTGTCAAGTAATATTCGAAGCATATAAATTAATCATAGAATTGACAAAAGACACCCACAACAATATTTTTTTTTGCAACAATGATAGAGAGTTCTAATTTTGGAGCTTTAAAGACAGCTCCAGTGATATAGCAAGAGAGAAAAAAAAAAATAAATCAATAATGATAAAGAACTCTAATTTTGAAGCTCTAATGATGTGGTAAGAAAAAAAATAAATAAATATAGGCACACGCATCACATCCCATGTGGGCCCTACTCCTTGCCACATCACTAAAGGTCTTTTTAGAGTTTTAAAATTAGAACTCTCAATCTTTATTAAAAAAAAAAAAATAGACACACAAATCACATCACATATGCGCCACACTCCTTACCACATCACTAGAGCTCTTTTAGAGTTCCAAAATAAGAGGTCTCAGTTTTTATTCTTTCTTTTTTTTGACTTTTTTGCCATAAGTTAAATTTTTTTTTTCTCATAATTAAAAATACAAATTTTATCTAGTCTATTTCTAAAGGCACGGAAAAGGAGAAGTATTAAACATCTTTAATATGCCAGAGTTGGGTAATGTTTGAACCTTCAACCCCTAATGGCATGTTTGATTGGAAGGATTAGAGTATGGGATTGAGATTATTAATCCGTGGGTCAAATTATCCTATGTTTGTTTTGACATTTTGTTTTAGGATTATTAATCCAATGGATAATTAATCCAACAAATTTGTAGGATTATTAGTAATGGAGTAGGGGTGCGATTGTGAATACCACACTAATTTGATAGGATTATTAATACCTCACTATTAGTCTTGTAGAATCAAATATAGCCTAACTTCACAATAAAATGATCTCTAATAATGTATGCACAATGTTTTCTAGCATTGTTTGACATGGACAAGCCGACATGCATGGCACCAATCTCTATCAATACAAACTTTTTTTAATCAACATTCAATAGTTCTGAAAATTCAACAGATATACTGTCATGAAAAAAAAAAAGAAAAAAAAAAAGAAAAAAAGAAAAAAACCTCAAAAAATGACTGTCAGTTTACAAAATTCAATTCAAGTAATCATTCTTAGGGTGGCCTTACAACAAGGAAATCAAATCTCCACCTTAGGAAAAATGTGAAATTCTGGACGACAATCTGAACAAGTTTTCTGTGTGGACAAATTAATTGTTGAAAATTATACAGAAATCCCGGCTTTCATGTTATCAAGCTATGAGGAATGAGTGTATTGAATCAAAAAAGAATGAGTGTATTATTCAATTAGTAGTGCCCTAAGTAGAGATAGGCTTAAGTTTGTCAAACATTGTGATTTCAACAAATACTTTGATCAATCCTTGTATGCAAATCTTCAAAAAAATATATTAATTCTTCCGCAATCATAGGATTTAAGATTCCTATGATAAAATAAGGGTTTTTTAAAAATTAAATATATGGTGTGTGAGAGAACCTTCTACACTAAGGTTTCCCCTTTGACGAATAACTCATTTTTTAAAAGATAAGGTTTTTTTTTGGGCAAAATATCAAGCTTCAAGTGGAAGAAATTAACTAATAACTTCATATGTTGAAGGTCTATAATATCTAAAGTACACTTTGTTCTCTGTTGCAACAATTTTATGTAAAGATGATCTAGTCTGTTATCGTGTTCAGTTCAACATGACATTTTTAAGATAAATATAAAGGGTGTGTTTGATTGGACGGACTGAATAAGGAGAAATTATTGAATCCTGAAACTGTGAATCTCCTGGACTATTTGATTGGATTGGATGTCTTTCCTGTGTTTATTTTTTCATAGGATGAGATATCTAGAAAAGACTATTTTTAGTGAATTTAATGTTTGGTTAGACGGACTAAATACGATAAATGAATAAAAGACTATTTTACTATTTTTCAATTGTTTACTAAGTAATAGCAATATTAAACATATCTTTAATATTTTAATTATTTTTAGCTAAATTAAATAAAATTTTATTTTATTTTATTTTTTACACAATTAAATAAATTTATTTTTAAAAAATTAAATAAATAAAATATCAATAAAAGTATATGTTATTTTTTAATTAAAATTTTAAATAAATTTATTTTTAAAAATAATAATAATTAAACAATGAAATTAAATAAAACATCTATTAAAATTTAAATAATAAAATTAAATAAAATATAAAATAAATTTAAAATAAAACATCAATAAAATATCTATAAAAAATTATTTTAAAAAATTAAATAAATAAAACATCAATAAAAAGTTAAACAAAATTATTTTATTTTTACATTAAGACATTTAAATTTTATTAAATTTTACTAAATATAATACATAATTAAAAAATAGATGGTTAAAATGATCATTTCACATTTTAATCCCAACAGTAAATAATCCAATGAAAATTATTCCATACCCTCAAGATAGTATAATTTTTCATATGGGGAATAAGGAGTTCGGCCGAACTTCATATTCGACGGACTAAAAATAAATAAATAAATAAATGCCTGATAAAAAACTTTTCTCTAATTAAAATTCCAATAATAAATAGTCTCTTCTTATCCACCAATCAACCACACCCAAAGGTATTAGGAATGGAGTGAAATTGATATTTTGAATTCATTTATATGTTGATTTTGAAAGTTCAACATTTTCTTGAAATAAAGGACCAAGTGGGTTGTCCTTTGAAAGATGTATTTAATGTTGGTTTGATGACGGTGGTTGATAATATTCAACAATAAACGTTGAAAAGTAGGGCTTGTTTGGACATAATTTGCAAATTAAAGTTCTTCACGTAATTAATGCATACGCGTAGGCATTGTTTGGGAAGTGAGTTTGCGTGGGTTTAGAGTTAAAATAATCACGAAAAATAAAATAAATTTTTAGTTTAATAAGACAAAATATTATATTTAACTCATAATCATTATATTTTTTTTTTACAAAAATTTAAAAAAGTCAAAAGCCCTTCTCAAAATTTTTTAGTCCCAAGCTAAAATAGTAAAAAAGTTAACAAGTTAAAAAGTCAACCCACTTCCCAAACCAAATGTATTATGGCCTCGTTTGGGAAGTGGCTATTTTAGTAGGCTATTTTAGTTTTTGGCTATTTTAGTAGGCTAAAATTTTTGTGTTTGGGAAGATGATTGGATTTTTTTGTAGTTGGATTTGATGTTTGTGAGAAAAAAAGTGAAATGATTATAGGTTTGATGTGATATTTTGTCTTATTAGCTATTTTAGCCTATATGTATCAATTAAGATATTAATTAGGCCAAGTTTGACATGATTGAAAAAAGATAAAAAGTCAAAAAGTCACTATCATATTTAAGTCACATCATCTTATTTAAGTCACATCACCTCTCTAACACATCACTTCAAACCCAACCCAAACTCAACCCATATTTCATAAAAAGTCAAAAAGTGCACTTATTTAGTCTTCCCAAACTAGGCCTTAGTGTATTAATTAATGATATGACATAATTTAAAATTTTTTTAATATTTGTAATTTGTAAAATAAATAAGGTCAATACTAATACTGTAACATATGTTGATACACTAATTAATATACTTGACACCACAGTTTTATATCATCAGATACATGATAATACATTTTTTTTATTTTGGTTAATCACATCAATGATTCTCTTAGTTTTTTCAAAATTTTAGTTTGGTCCTTCTACTTTGAATTTCGTTAATTTATATACGTTTTGTTTTGTTCCACTTTGATCTTTTTTTACTTTACAATATTAATCCTAAGATTTCAATTATTATATTATTGCCTATTAACTTTTGTTATATTATAAAAATATCTTTTATTTTATCAGACAAATTTTTCATTTTCCTAGAGTATTAATTCAAAATATTTCTTTGGAGAGTTCCCCTATAAATATAAAGATAATTATTTGTAGTGTCGAACTTCGTATTTAATTTCTAGTTGATTTTTCTTAACATTTCGTTGCGTTCCTTTAATAACTTGAT